CGCCCCCCGCCCGGCCCCTGCGCGCGGAGGTGCGCGCGCCCGCGCCGATGTGTGTGAGTGCGTGTCCTGCTCGCTCCATGTTGCCGCCTCTCCCGGTACCTGCTGCTGCTGCTCCCGGGGCTGCGGGAAATGCGAGAGGCTGAGCCGGGGAGGAGGAACCCGAGCAGCAGCGGCGGCGGCGGCGGCCGCGGCGGCGGGAGGAGCCCCCCAGGAGGAGGCCCGGGGTCCATGTGTCTTTCCTGGTGACTAGGATGTCGTCGGAGGAGGACAAGAGCGTGGAGCAGCCGCAGCCGCCGCCACCACCCCCCGAGGAGCCCGGAGCCCCGGCCCCGAGCCCCGCAGCCGCAGACAAAAGACCTCGGGGCCGGCCTCGCAAAGATGGCGCTTCCCCTTTCCAGAGAGCCAGAAAGAAGTAAGTTGAGTGCGAGGGAGCCAGGCCGGGAGCCAGCGGCGCCGCCGGGCCGGAGCTGTCACCGAGCGCCTGCCCGCGGCCCCCGCGCCCCGGCGCCCCCCGGCGGGTGGGGGCGGGGCGGCCCGGGCGGCGGCGGCTCCAGCCCGGCCCGCGCCCCTCGCGCCCGCCCCGGCTCCGCTCGCTCGGCCCCGCACACTTTACTTTTGAGTTTGGCCTTCCGCCGTGTTCGCTTCGTGCTGCTCTGGCTGGGAAATGCCCGTAGTGCGCCGTGGCCTAGCTGGGTCGTTGGGAGCGAGCGGCGAGGCGCACCGCCCGTCCCCGGCGGCCCGCGACGGCCACAAAGCGGCGGCCCGGGAAACTCTCGCAGCTGTCAAACGCCGCGGCCGGCGGTCGCGCAGGGCCGGGCGAGGTCGCGGGGAACCGGCGCGGCTCTCCTTTGTCGGCCACTTGCTCCTTCAACTTTTCCCGGCCCCAAACCGAGATTTTCTCCTTTTAACGATACATTGGGAAGCCATTTGACTTCTTCCTCCCCCTCCCCCACACCCAGACCCGCGCGGCCCGGCGCCGGGAGGCTCCGCTCCGGTGTGATCGCGCAGCTTCGGGGGAAGCCGCCTAAGTTTTGGAAACGTCGCCGATGTTCCCGCACTTTATTCAGATAGAATGCAGATGTGAATTTTGCTTAACTTGTTACAAGGCTTGGGGACAACTGGGTTGGGAATGGGTTTCGTTTGTTTTCGAGCGTATATCAGGGCTGTGTATGCCAGCTTGTTACATGACCAGAACTGTCTTGGTGCAGAGTGGTTATTTGGCGACTTTGCGTGTAAATTAAGAAACTCCTTTTAGTGCCAGTGAACTGCTCGGCTATTGTGGCTCCTCAGTGTGCCGTGGGAGATCTGTGAGTTGCTTCCGAAGTTGTAGAATGGCGTGTGCTGCTTACTCATTTCATTATAGGATATTCTCATTGAACTCTTCGTAGTGGAAGGCTACGCTGGGACGTGAAGGAAGGCAGCACGTTTATGGGTCGGCTGTTTCTTTGGTTCGGGTGCATTAATTTAGTAATAGTATTGTTATGTTTGGTGATTTGTAGTAAAAATAGTAGCGTTAACTGAGGCGTAGCAGAGTTGGGTTGTGGGAACCCATTAAGCTCTTGACTGAATGTGCTCTTTTATGCTTTGCTATCCTTTTCCTGTGAAAACGATTCAGGGCCTTCAACTTGCCTCCATATTTTATTGCCAGCTCTTACCTAGCTATAACAAATCATGAGGGAAACAAGTACAAGCTGTGTACATTATTACATTAGCTTGTTTGTGATACAAAGTTAGGGTTTATCTATCATGCCACTTGCATTGTGGTATGACGTCAGGTATAAAATGCCGTTACTCCTACATTAATTGAAATTTGAAGAACGAAGGTGGAGTTTTAGGGAACTTTAGACTCCTAAGCCACTTTTTTGTATTTTTTAAAGCAACTCAGGACAAGCTCCATTAGAGTTTCAACTCGATTGTTTCCCATTTCACTATTTAAAAAAAAAACATTTATTGCTCTCTTACTGAGCATTATTTTAAGATTGTTATGTTTTAGATTTGCATTTAAATTGTTACTAGAGGAAGAGGAGACTTAGCTATATTGTCACACCCTAGTCCCCATACATATGCATCCGGGTGCGCGGCACACACACACACTCTCACACTCACTCACTCTCACCCCCTACTACCGAAATGAGCTCATTTATATTAGTGCAACTCCTGGGTGCACCGGAAGAAAGGTTGATTTAGGGTATTACGATTTTATTATTTTAATTTTGAAATAGGTGGCTTTTCGAGAAGTTAAAAAATTTCTACCGAATGACAGTATAATCTGACAATATAAAACATCAAAAATTTGGGGAATGTATAAAACAAATCTAAAAGAGTTTTTCCGTTTTGATTTGAAAACTAATAATACAGCGTTCCTTATAGGAAAGTAAAGTCTGCTGGTAACTTTGATGGCTCCAAACTTTTTAGTGAATTCTTAAGAATTGGGGTCTTTTGAAGGTAATGGAGTCTCCCAGTTGTTTTAGAAACGTGTAAATGGATACTAATATGTGAAATGAAAAAGAAGTTTTTCAATTGTGTATCTTTACACCATATTAGAATACATACAGAAAAAGACCCTGTAGGTTAGGTAGTAAAGACCCTGAAAGTGAAACTGATGTGTAATAAATGTAAATTAGGTTTGTAATCTATGAAATAATGTGAAATTGCAAATAATTCACCTAAGAAATGAAACTGATATTCTGTGTGAAATGTGATAGAGATAAAAGTGTTTAAAATGTTAATGGTTAGATGGTAACTGACTTAGTGGATTGAATTAAGTTTGAGAAGATGCGTTTTGACACTTTTTAAAAAATGTGGTGTGTGTTTGTCTTTGGATTAAGAAAAAAGGTAACCGTGCACTTCCAATTACACTGTCCTTGAGTTTGAATTGTTAATAATAGGTAATTAAGCATTTTTTTGTTTTATGGTGTTAGTTAAATTTTTTTGTGTGCTTTATCACGTTTAAAAAGCATAGACTAATACTCTTCTGGTTTCTAAAAAATAAGTAATACACTCTGATTTTTTTAAAAAAAGAAAAAAGCTAGGCTATATAGTTATCGCTTTTACATTAACTGTAATTATTTTAAAATTATGTTTACTACCTAAAATCAGGAAATATGAACTGAAGCTATTAGTTTTAGGGTTCGAAAAGTAGGTATATAAGTGAGGATTTCTTGTTGTACAAATGTCAGGTGCTACAGTGAAGTTTACATTTGTCTAAAAGATCTCCATAACTGTAAAGACTGTTTAATTATTTGGTTAGTAGCTCATAATCTTTATCAGAGGCGCAGATCTTAACCTGGTGAAGAGCCTCCTGCCGTAGTATGCACATACTAAGGTCTAATTATTTTTTTGTTAATGTTAAGGAAACTTTTCATGAAGATTTGATTTTATTTTTTCCATCCTTAGGCTATAAATTCACATTACTGAATTGGGAAGCCAAGGAAACATTCTACCATGTTTCATACCAAGTCATGAAAGTTGATGTTAGGAATAGGGTGGGTGTGGGGTGGTGCAGAAGCAGCAGGTGCTGAGGATAGGATTTCTGAGGCACTATCCTTGGCCCTTTTTGAGTCAACTCTTTATACCCTGAACCTGTTACTATTATTAGAGAGCCAGCCTTATTGTTGTAGAAAAATTAGGCACAAGCAGTGATGTTACACAAGGGACTAGCAAAAAATGGCTGTGCAGCAGGTGACTGTTGCTACCGTACATTTGTAAGGCCCTTCCTCCAACAAAATTTCTCATTTTCCATAGCTGTGAACTTGAAATAAGTTATGGAAAACTGTACTGCATTACAATATATGCAGTTTAATAAAACAACAGTTTTTAGTTGAGAGATATCTCTGTTAATCATCCTTTTCTGAGGTAATGCAAATTTGTAATTTTTATGATAACAATTCTTAATTTTTATTATTTTTCAAGAAATTTGATAAATGGAAATTTTTGATAGTTAACTGGTGTTTGACACTTTATAGGCACTGAAGTGTTTTAATTCAGTTGAAAAGCTGGTCAAGGAATATCACCCTCTCTTATCTGTTAGGAGGTTGTTCTCTACCTAACTGTAGTTTGTTGTTGTCCTGTTGGTCTTTTTTTTTTTTTGAGACAGAGTCTCACTCTTTTGACCGGGCTAGAGTGCGGTGGCCTCAGCCTAGCTCACAGCAACCTCAAACTCTTGGGCTCAAGCAATCCTTCTGCCTCAGCCTCCCAAGTAGCTGGGACTACAGGCATGTGCCACCATGCCCGGCTAATTTTTTCTATGTATTTTTAGTTGTCTGATTAATTTCTTTGTATTTTTAGTAGAGACGGGGTCTCGCTCTTGCTCAGGCTGATCTCAAACTCCTGAGCTCAAACAATCCGCCCGCCTTGACCTCCCAGAGTGCTAGGATCACAGGCGTGAGCCACCGCGCCCGGCCTGTCCTGTTGGTCTTATTCATGGGAATTTCTGATATTTGAGAGTATGTTTTTAGTCTACTATACAGTTTTATATTTAACATATTGGTTAGTAATATGTAAACTTGATAAACATGAATTTCCATGTAAATTTAAAATTATCACAATAGATTGTTTTCCCATTCTGAAAATTGTGATTTATTACATTTTCCTGTTGTCTCATTTAATTCTGTGATGCCAGATTTGTGGGAAGTTTGCAGGGCGACAAGCTGCACTGTTTCCTCCCATTCCCCTGTTTTGCAAAACTGCATGTTTTTCCCTAGGCCACAGTCAGGTTTCTCTGGGTAGAGAGTGGTTGTCCAACCTTGTATCCTTAAGTCACTTAAAGTGTATGACTGAGGGACTTCCATGAAACCTCACTGACCTTCCAAAATGAAAATGGTCAGTTTCCGGTTACAAAGAACATTAGATGCTCTCTCTCTCTATTCTTTACTTGGTGGGGAGGTGTGAGATACCTTTAGTAGGATGTGAGTTTAGTTTTAAAATTTATTTTTTATGTTTTAATTTTATTATTATTATTTTTAGAGATGGGCTTGTTCTCTTGCCCAGGCTGGAGTACAGTGGATTGATCATAGCTCACTGCAGCCTCAAACCCCTGGGCTCAAGCAGTCCTCCTGCCTCATTCTCCTGGGTAGCTGGGACTACAGGCGTGCCAGTACAGCCTGGTTAATTTTTTAATTTTTTGTAGAGAAGGGATCTTGTTATGTCGCCCAGGCTGGTCTCAAATTCCTGGGCTTTAAGCAATCTTTTCACCTTGGCCTCCCAAAGTGCTGGGATTACAGGCATGAGCCACCACACCTGGCCAAGTTTAGTTTTTAACCTGTGAAACATTTGGACTGAACATATATTAATAATTTTTAGCTGCCATGGAATAAACTTTCTGGGGTGTGTGCGTTTTCCTTTCTTTAATTTTTTTCTTTTTTTTCTATATTGTTTTGGCCTGTTTTTATCTTTTAATTTCAGCAAACTGAT